CCCCAAAACCCCAAAACCCCAAAACCCCAAAACCCCAAAACCCCAGCAGAAGAAGGTTTTATTGAAATTTTATAGTTGAAAGGGAAATATGGAAGAAGCTTTGAAGAGACTGAAGGAGATCAAGTTAAGGAGGTACTCGGATGAAACTGATGAGGAAGAGCAGGAGATTAGTTGTGAGTAGGGGATGAGGGGGTTGGAGGGGCTAACTTGGTGTTTAGCTGCTGGAAAGAATTTTGGGGGTATCGAATCGTCTTCTGATAAGAAAAATAGAAAAGGGAAAGTATATGAAGCTTCTCATGATGCAAATGATCTGTAAAAAAAATTATTATATACCAAAACTTTCACAAGAATTGCTGCTAATAATCTGCATACTTTCAGGTCTAACTAAAATATAGAGCATCAAACAGGGAAAAAAACATTTAGGTAATTTCCCATGAAACTCTTGACTAACCCATTTAGTACAACAAAGTAGAGAAGAGTCTAAACAGTCAAATGGAAGACAGCTTTCCATCCACGATTTTGACTTCTTATCTACATTAGGTACTGGTACTTTCGGCAGAGTTAGACTAGTCAGATTCAAACATGACTCAAAATGCGACCCCATGGCTTTGAAGATGCTAAAATAAGACTGAAATCATCAGGTTAAAGCAAGTAGACCATGTCAGGAGTGAGAAGAAAATTTTGGAGACAATCCGTCATCCTTTTATTGTCCAACTGCAGGATACATTCCAAACAGAAAGTCATGTCTTCATGCTTCTAGACTATGCCTGAGGAGGGGAACTTTTCTCTCTGCTTAGGAGAGAAGGAAGATTCTCAAATGACGTAGGCTTGTTCTTTGCTACAGAGATCGTCCTTGCCTTTGAATATCTTCACTCCAAAGAAATCGCTTATAGAGACCTTAAGCCAGAGAATTTACTAGTTGATAAAGATGGTCATGTCCGGATCACAGATTTTGGATTTGCTAAGGTCGTTAAAGATAAGACATATACATTATGAGGAACTCCTGAGTACTTGGCTCCAGAGATTATTCAAAGCAAAGGGCATAGTAAATACGTAGACTGGTGGGCTCTTGGTGTACTTATTTTTGAAATGCTTGCTGGATACCCTCCATTTTATGATGATAATCCTCTTGGCATCTATCAGAAAATTCTAGACGGGTATTATGAATTTCCTCCTTATGTCGAACCTAAAGCAATAAATTTGATAAAGTCTTTCTTAACAGCAGATAAATCAATCAGACTTGGCTGCAACAGAGGCTCTGAAGAAGTGAAAGAGCATAAATGGTTCAAAGGAGTAGACTGGAATGTAGTATATTCCAGAGAAATTCCTTCTCCATGGGTTCCAAAGATCATGGATAATGCTGACACACAATATTTTGAGAAATACCCTGACTCAGTTGAAACTCCTTCTGTACCTACAAAGGCCTAGCAAGATTATTTCTCTTATTTCTAATACTGATATGCCATTTTCAATTATCACACTCAAAAAGGGGTTTTGGGGTTTTGGGGTTTTGGGG